AACAGCTCCACAAGACTCCAAGGCAGAGAATTCCGCTTCTGAACAGCTCCACAATGCTCCGGCAGAGAGTTCCGCTACTGAACAACTCCACAATGCTCCAAGGCAGAGAGTTCCGCTGCTGAACAGCTCCACAATACTCCAAGGCAGAGAGTTCCGCTTCTGAACAGCTCCACAATACTCCAAGGCAGAGAGTTCCGCTGCTGAACAGCTCCACAAGACTCCAAGGCAGAGAATTCCACTGCTGAACAGCTCCACAAGACTCCAAGGCAGAGAGTTCCGCTTCTGAACAGCTCCACAATACCCCAAGGCAGAGAGTTCCGCTACTGAACAGCTCCACAATGCTCCAAGGCAGAGAGTTCCACTGCTAAACACCTCCATAATATTCCAAGGCAGAGAGTTCCACTGCTGAACAGCTCCACAAGACTCCAAGGCAGAGACTTATTTATTTATTTATTTATTTATTTATTTATTAACTTTATTTGTACCCCGCTAGCATCTCCTGAAGGACTCGATGCGGCTTACACAGGCCAAGGCCTCAAAACACAACATAACAATACACAACCTAAAGCAAATTAAAAACAATTAAAGCAATATTAAACAACAAGCAATAAACAATACACCAAGACACAATAAAACTGGGCCGGGTCAGAGTAATGGGTACAGGATTAAAAAGTGCTGGTGTGACAGGTGGTATATAAGGCATTCTAGGGCAAGTGAAGTGTGCGGCAGTCTTAATTCTAATAAAGTGCTTCTGGGACTTGGTATTGGAGATTTCCTATTCTGGAAAGGCACATCGGAACAGCCAGGTCCTCAAGTTCTTTCTAAAGACTGCCAATGTAGGGGCCACCACAGAAAAGGCCCTGTCTCGCGACCCCACCAAGTGCGCTTGCAACGCAGGCGGAATCACGAGCAGGGCCTCTCCGGATGAACGAAGTGAGCGCGTGGGTTCATAAACGGAGATGTGGTCACGCAGGTTGGGTGGTCCCAAACCGTTTAGGGCTTTGTAGGGAAGCACCCACACCTTAAATTGGGCTCAGAAAATAAACTTTCACTTCTGAACAACTCCAGAAGGCTCCAAGGCAGAGAGTTCCACTGCTGAACAGCTCTTCCTATTGTCAGGAAATTCTTCCTCAGTGTGGTGGAGGCTCCTTCTTTGGAGGCTTTTAAACAGAGGCTGGATGGCCATCTGTTAGGGGTGCTTTGAATGCAATATTCCTGCTTCTTGGCAGGATGGGGTTGGACTGGATGGCCCATGAGGTCTCTTCCAACTCTTTGATTCTATGATTCATAATGGTATCCCGTCATTTGGACCCATGGCTCCATGGAATCCTAGTCCCCAGCCTTTCACATCTTTATCCATGGCATTGGCTATCCGATCTCCTCTCAATCTTCTTTGACGCAGGCTAAACAGACGCAGCTCTTTGGGATGCTCCTCAGAGGGGTTGTTCATGGTCTCCAGACCTTTAATCCTTTGAGTTGCTCTCTTCTTCTGGACTCCTTCCAGCTTAGAGTCAATATATCTCTTAAACGGTGGTGCTCAGAATGGGACACGGTATTCCAGGTGAGGCCTGACCAGAGCAGAAGGGAGAGGCACATGTTTGGATGCAGCCCAAATTCCCTCTGGCTTTTTGAGCTGCTGCCAATCTAACCACATAGAATCATAGAATCATAGAATCATAGAATCAAAGAGTTGGAAGAGACCTCATGGGCCATCCAGTCCAACCCCATTCTGCCAAGAAGCAGGAATATTGCATTCAAATCACCCCTGACAGATGGCCATCCAGCCTCTGCTTAAAAGCTTCCAAAGAAGGAGCCTCCACCACACTCCGGGGCAGAGAGTTCCACTGCTGAACGGCTCTCACAGTCAGGAAGTTCTTCCTCATGTTCAGATGGAATCTCCTTTCTTGTAGTGTGAAGCCATTGTTCCGCGTCCTAGTCTCCAGGGAAGCAGAAAACAAGCTTGCTCCCTCCTCCCTGTGGCTTCCTCTCACATATTTATACATGGCTATCATATCTCCTCTCAGCCTTCTCTTCTTCAGGCTAAACATGCCCAGTTCTTTAAACTCCTCATAGGGCTTGTTCTCCAGACCCTTGATCATTTAGTCGCCCTCCTCTGGACACATTCCAGCTTGTCAATATCTCTTCAACTGTGGTGCCCAGAATTGGACACAATATTCCAGGTGTGGTCTAACCAAAGCAGATAGAGGGGTAGCATGACTTCCCTAGATCTAGACACTATGCTCCCCTTGATGCAGGCCAAAATCCCATTGGCTTTTTTTGCCGCCACATCACATTGTTGGCTCATGTTTAACTTGTTGTCCACGAGGACTCCAAGATCTTTTTCACACGTACTGCTCTCGAGCCAGGCGTCCCCCAGGAAGCCTTTGGAAATGGCAGCCACAAATGAATTGAACTCTTCAGGCGAAAGATGAACCTCTGACCTCCCAAAATGGAGAATTCGCCTTTCTCTCTGAAAATGGCTCCCAAAAATGGAGACCACATCCGGATGGCCATCTGTTGGGGGTACTTTGAACTTCTTGGCAGAATGGGGTTGGACTGGATGGCCCACGAGGTCTCTTCCAACTCTAGGATTCTGTCTCAAAACGCAGCAGAATTAATGCCTCATGCGAGTACATTTGGTTTCAATCTGACGCAATGCGATTGGGAAACGCTGGTCACTTGGAGCCATTCTCTGGACCTTCTCAGCGCTGTCCTCGCCGTGCCAGACGCTTCCTCTTCCTTTTTGTGTATTTGTGGGGTATGTCTATGTATACATATATCTTGCAGGCTGGGCTTTGCCACAGGCCCCCAAAGCCCCTTGATCTGTGGTTGTACCTTTCCACACCCAACAAAGTATGTCCTTCTCAACCTTCCTAACGCCACAACCCCTTAATGCAGTGCCTCATGTGGTGGTGACCCCCAACCATGACATTATTTTCGTTGCTCCTTCACAACTGTCATTTTGCTCCTATTATGAATCGTAATGTAAATATCTGATATGCAGGATGTATTTTCATTCACTGGACCAAATTGGGCACAAATATTTAATACGCCCAAATTTGAATACTGGTAGGACGGGAGGAGGGATGGTTTTGTCATTTGGGAGTTGTAGTTGCTGGGATTTATAGTTCACCTGTGCATTCCAAACTCCACCAACAACGGAATTGGGCCAAACTTGGCACACAGAACTCCCATGACAACAGAAAATACTGGAAGGGTTTGGTGGGCATTGAGCTTGAGTGTTATTGTTCACCTACATCCAGAGCCCTCTGGACCCAAACAATAATAGATCTGGAGCAAACTTGGTACAAATACTCAATATGTCCAAATGTGAACACTGATGGAGTTTGGGGAAAATCGACCTTGACATTTGGGAGTTGTAGTTGCTGGGACTTATAGTTCACCTACAATCAGAGAGCATTCCGAACTCCACCGACGATGGAATTGGGCCAAACTTCCCACAGTTTGGTTCAATTCCATCACTGGTGGAGTTCAGAATGCTTTCGTTGTAGGTGAACTATAAATGGACTTGTGTGGCATGAGCCCTCCTCCAGCCTTGCACTCTCTCCCTTGCCTGCACATGTGCACCACCCTGCCATGCACGGAGCACACTTGCCCTCCCCTCCCCACTTGGGAGTCCCATGGCTGAGAGGCCAGCCAATCACAGCACGGCTTTTGGTGGGAAGATTTGGGGTGTTTTCAAAAAGGAAGAGGACAGGCAGAGAGATCCTGAGACTGGGTTGTTGTAGGTTTTTTCGGGCTATATGGTCATGTTCTAGAGGCATTCTCTCCTGACGTTTCGCCTGCATTTATGGCAAGCATCCTCAGAGGTAGTGAGGTCTGTTGGAACTAGGAAAAGGGTTTATATATCTGTGGAATGACCAGGGTGGGACAAAGAACTCTTGTCTGCTGGAGCTAGGTGTGAATGTTTCACAGATATATAAACCCTTTTTCATACTTCCAACAGACCTCGCTATCTCTGAGGATGCTTGCCATAGATGCAGGCGAAACGTCAGGAGAGAATGCCTCTAGAACAGGGGTCCTCAAACTTTTTAAACAGAGGGCCAGGTCACAGTCCCTCCAACTGTTGGAGGGCCGGATTATAATTGGAAAAAACATGAATGAATTCCTATGCACACTGCACATATCTTATTTGTAGTGCAAAAACCACTTAAAACAATCCAATAATTAAAATGAAGGACAATTTTAACAAATATATATTAGTATTTCAATGGGAAGTGTGGGGCTGCTTTTGGCTGATGAGATAGGGTTGTTGTTGTGTGCTTTCAAGTCGTTACAGACTTAGGTTGACCCTAAGCGAGGGCCGGGTAAATGACCTTGGAGGGCCGCATTCGGCCCCGGGCCTTAAGTTTGAGGACCCCTGCTCTAGAACATGGCCACATAGCCCGAAAAAACCGACAACAACCCAGTGATTCCGGCCATGAAAGCCTTCAAGAAAACATTGAACTTAAGACTATCAGAAATAGATGTTTTTGGGTGGTCTTTGGCAACCCCTCTGAACCCCCCTCGTTACCCTGTCCAGCAGTGTCCACCCCCAAATTGAGAAACACTGATCTAGAGCGAATTCCCAATCTGCCGGCACCCTTTCTGTTCTTCCAATATACATTCCCTTTATTTAGGTATCCAAAAAGCAATGTCCCCAAATTACAAATGGAGAGAGTGACACCTTTGCTTTCCGATGGTTCCGTGTACATAAAATTTTTGTTTCAGGCACAAAATTAAATATATATTGTGTATTAACACATGCAGAATGCATTTACTGTTTAGACTTGGACCCCATCTTCAAGCGATCTCACATATGTATAATCTATCCAAATACAAGTCTCTTTTTCCAGATTCCGAAACCCACTTACACGTAAACCCAGTTTCAGATCAGCAGTGTTTGAAATCAAGACCAAGAAGCAGAAAAGCCTCCCCTCCTCCTCCGTTTACGATATTTCTTTCTTTTTTGCACAAATCATCCCAAAGCAAAGGAGCCGTTTGGTTTTGTTTTTCTCAAGATCACGTTTATTTTGGTCACTGTAACTTTTCCTTTTGAATAAATAATAGCTATACAAAAAAAGGGTTTTTTTCAGGTTTTGCAACGCACAGATTTCTTTTTTTGCTGTATGAAAAAAGTTTTCCAATTTTTTTTTTCGATTTTATTTTAACGAACGAACAATGGGAATTGAGGGAGGGAAGGAAGGAGAAAAAGGGTTTTGCGCCTTGGCGTCGAAAGGGGGAGAAAAATTGGCATGTTTTTTGTGTGTTTGTGTGTTTTGCGTGTTTGCTTCTTCACCAATGATTTCCAGGCAGGGAGAACAGAAAACCATGACCTTCTTTGTGAGGTAGGTTTCAAATTCTCAAGCGGTTTCCCCCTTCCCCCAGTGTTTTAGCACCATGATTCTGCGGAAAAAGGGAAAAAACGTTGAAGACGGCTACAAAAATAATTATGGGGATGTTTGTCTGGAGGGAAAGCGAGAAGAGAGGCGAGGAAGCTTCGGAAACTTCCTTCTCTCCATTAAAAAATATATATAAGGAGACCTGGATGTGGGTTCTGGGTTCGAATCTGGGGGCTGTTTGGAAAAATGAAATCAGAGAGAGAGAGAGAGAGAGAAAGAAAAGAGAGAAGGGGAAAAGGAGGAATGAAAGAGAGAGAAAGAGACAGAGGAAAAAGCGCCAGTAAACACTATAAATTTCATTTTTTGCCTCCAAAAAAGTGACATTTATTCAAAAGGCAAGAAAACTCAAAAAAAAAAAAATAGAAAAGGGCAAATATTTGGGGTTTTCTTTCTGGTTGGGTGGGAAGGATCGAGGGGTGTTTTGTTGTGCCCACCGGGGAGGTTGTTATAGGCACCGATGTGGCCCCGCCGGGCAGCCGAGGCTCAGATGAGGTCGGCCACGTTGAGAGGCATCTCCTCGATGGAGGTGTTGTAGAAGGTCTCGATGTCGCGCAAGGTGCGCTTGTCCTCTTCCGTCACCATGTTGATGGCCACCCCTTTCCTGCCGAAGCGGCCGCCTCGACCAATCCTGAGGGAGGAGGAGGAGGAGAAGAGGCCAAACGACACTCAGGGTTAATTAAAAGGGATTCTTATAGTTATGTTGTTTTTCATACTTTGTATGTTTTGTGATGTTACCTGGGAACGGCTCTGAGTCCCCTCGGGGAGATGGAGCAGTATATAAAGTATTATTATTATTATTATTATTTAGAGCTTTTATAACTCGGTCTTCTCGACCTCCGAAGAGGGAGTCAGGCCGGCTAACAGCAGGAAATTCATACACAAGTAGGATAAACATAATAGCATCGTAATACATTAATACATAAAACACAGATCACGCAATTACAAAAAGCCAGGTCGTCAAAGTAAAATCACAAATTCATCACCATCCGCCGGTGTGGTCAGTAGTTACTGACTCGCTCATCATTCTGAGAATGCTATATTCCAAAGCCAAGATTTTACCAGCTTTCTGAAAGTCAGGAGGGAAGGGGCAGATCTAATCTCCAGCGGGAGAGAGTTCCAGAGCCGAGGGGCCACCACCGAGAAGGCCCTGTCCCTCGTCCCCACCAAACGCCATTTCGAAGAGCAGGGCCCTTCAAAAAGATCTTAACAACCTTGATGGTTCATAGGGGAGAATCCATTCGGACAGGTAAACTGGACCAGAGACGTTTAGGGATTTATGTCAGCACCAGCACTTTGAATTGTGCTCGGAAGCTAATTATTATTCAGAAAGGAGAGCCCATTGGCCAAGAATAACAAAAGGAGAAGTACACGATACTACACACCAGGCCTGGGACAACTTCGGCCCTCCAGGTGTTTTGTGCTGGGCTGTGGCGCAGCTCGTTAATAGCCAGCTGCATTAAATCACTGCTGAGCAAGAGGTTATGAGTTCAAAGCCAGCCCAGGTCGGAGTGAGCTCGCAACTATTAATAGTTTAGCTTGCTGTTGACCTATGCCAGGGGTCCTCAAACTACAGCCCAGGGGCTGGATACGGCCCTCCAAGGTCATTTGCCCAGTCCTCGCTCAGGGTCAACCTAGGTCTGGCATGACTTGAAAGCACACAACAACAACAACAACAACAACAACAACAACCCTATCTCATCAGCCAAAAGCAGGCCCACACTTCCCATTGAAATACTAATAAGTTTATATTTGGACTCGGTGTCACAAGTGGACGGTGAAGTGGCAGCTCCCCCTGTGGCCGGAACGGAGCATACCCTCATGAAGCCGGAAAAGCTGGAATGTTAAATTGCCTCTGTGTCTGTCTATATATGTTGTATGTCTAATTGGCACTGAATGTTTGCCATGTATATGCGCATTGTAATCCGCCCTGAGTCCCCTGCAGGGTGAGAAGGGTGGAATATAAAAACTGTCAATAAACAATTATAAATTCCCACAATTATGGGATTTGTAGTTTTACAAGGTCTTCTGCCTTCTCTGGGTGCATCCAAATGAATGCGGTTTGACTGCCCATGCCGAAATGCTATGGAATTCTGGGAGCTGTAGTTTGTTCGTCAAACTACAATTTCCAAATTCCCATAGCATCGAACCATGGCAGTTCAAGTGAGGTCAAACAGGCGCAAAAGCATCCTACAAAACCCCAAAACATTCAATCCAATGCTTCTTGCTTCCATCTTGAATAGCATGCATAGGACAACTTGGGTCGTCCCTCCAGATGTTTTGGACTTAGATGCCCATAATGTGGGTGTGCAGATGATCCCTTGATTTAAGTCAATCAAGTCCAATTCCAAGAGGACAAAAGCATGGACCAACTTTAGACCATTCCAAACAGTCACTGAGTCGGTCAAGTGAGCCGCAGCCCCTCCCACTGCTTCAGGTATATAGAGATAAGGAAACTGCAAATCAAATAAGACTTATATTTCAAGCACAGGCCAACTTAGTCCCTTCCTGAGCATTCTAAACAGTAACTAAGTCAGTCAAGTGAGCTGTAGCCCCTCCCACTGCTGTAGGTATATAGAGATAAGGAAACTGCAAATCAAATAAGATATATACTTCAAGCACGGGCCAACTCCGTCCCTCCCTAACCATTCCAAACTGTCACTGAGTCAGTCAAGTGAGCTGCAGCCCCTCCCACTGCTTCAGGTATATAGAGATAAGGAAACTGCAAATCAAATAAGACTTATATTTCAAGCACAGGCTAACTTAGTCCCTTCCTGAGCATTCTAAACAGTAACTAAGTCAGTCAAGTGAGCTGTAGCCCCTCCCACTGCTGTAGGTATATAGAGATAAGGAAACTGCAAATCAAATAAGATATATACTTCAAGCACGGGCCAACTCCGTCCCTCCCTAACCATTCCAAACTGTCACTGAGTCAGTCAAGTGAGCTGCAGCCCCTCCCACTGCTTCAGGTATATAGAGATAAGGAAACTGCAAATCAAATCAGACAGATACAGATGCATCTACACCAGGGCCTTCCAGGTGTTTTGGACTTCAACTCCCAGCATTCCTAACAGCCTCAGGCCCTTTCCGCTTAAGCGGCTGAGGGGGAAAAGGAAGGGGCCTGAGGCTGTTAGGAATGCTGGGAGTTGAAGTCCAAAACACCTGGAGAGAGGGTCGAAGTCTGCCCATGCCTGCTATTATCATAACATTGTAGTTGGTGGAGTTTTGGATCCTAAACACCCCAAGCCGCTTGGCCAATGGTCAGTTTCTATTCCTTAGGCCCGGAAACAGAGAACCAAGGGTTTCAAAAAGCACTGGCAAAGATAGTATTTTGAAGGGAGAAGGAAGGAACCGCAAAGGACCTTTCGTTTGTGGCAAAACAACTCACCTGTGGATGTAGTTCTCCCGGTTGGTGGGCAGATCATAGTTGATAACCAGGGAGACCTGCTGCACATCAATGCCACGAGCCTAAAAAGAGGAGGAAGGAAGAGCATAAGCCACCAGCGACCTAATACTTTACCCTGTTTGATCCCTTTGGAAAGAAGGATGCATGAAACGTTGTTTAGGTAGAGATGAATCAAACTCCCAGTTACAGATTACCAAACCTAAACAAGGCAGAGATGAATCAAACTCCCCGTTACAGATCACCAAACCCTCTAGAACTAATACATTAACCCTTCCATCACCAACCACCATCAACTGCAGACCATATGACAGCTTTCATGGCCGGAATTTCTGGGTTGTAGTGCGTTTTCCGGGCTGTATGGCCATGTGTGTATGTAGAAATGCATTTAAATAAATAAATAAATAAATAAAAGCATTCTCTCCTGACATTTCGCCTGCATCTATGGCAGGCATCCTCAAAGATTGTGAGGTCACAACTTCACCTCTGAGGATGCCCTGCCATAGATGCAGGCAAAACATCAGGAGAGAATGCTTCTGGAACATGGCCATACAGCCCAGAAAACACACAACCCATCTTCTACCAATGTTAGGCCATCACTTTTATTTACTCCGAGATATATTACCTGCAACAATACGATATGTGTTTATGTTTATGCATGGATACATATATATATAAGCACATATATGCATATCTCTATATTTGGATGTGTGTATGTATATATGTGTACATATATGTATAACACGTGTCCCTTTCTTTCCTTCCCTTTCATTCTTTCTTTCTCTGCGATTTCATTTTTCCAAACAGCCCCCCACATTCAAACGTAGAACCCACATCCAGGTCTCCTTATATTTTTTTTAATGGAGAGAAGGGAAGTTTCCAAAACCTTCTTGCCTCTCTTCTCACTTTCCCTCCAGAAAAACATCCCTGTATTATTATTTTCGTAGCCGTCTTCCAACTTTTTTCCCTTTTTCTGCAGAATCCTCAGTGGCTGTTTGGGCATTCTTGACAAATGGCAGTTGGCTGACCTCGAATGCCAATATGAAATAAAACCTTTGCCCTCAACTTGTCATCATCTTCTTCATCTCCTGCATTATATCTGGGGGACTCTCCAATATTTCCCAAATAGTCTCTTTATGTGAAAAATTTCATTTTAAATGACCACATGGCATAATTGCTGGCATTCAACCTTTCAAAAGGCAGTCCACTTGCTTGAAATGCCACTTCCATATTTCTTCAGCCTGAATAAGGTTGGTACTGGGTTATACTGGACTATACTGGGCCCATCATCCCTGTTGGGTGAGTGGGCTTATTAACAAAAGACCTTCCTCATAAATGTATAGAAGAGTAACTTATTAGCAGCAGTGTGACCCAGTACCAGTAGTCCAAAGTGATAAAATGAACAAAAACACACAGACCAATGTTATCTCTTCCATAGGGGTTTCTTTATAGTAAAATAATATGTTTGTTATTTACAATAACAAGGTTTCCACAACACAAATAAAGTCCTTTATACTTCCTTCTTTGCTTCCACACTCGGTTTCTTTCAGGCATTTGAGGCTGGGGGGGGGGGGGATGGGGGGGGGAAAGTGGCGGTAGACCTCGCTCTTGTACGGCGTAGGTGATAGCACTCGGGGGCGTGGCGTCTTTGCGTAGGAGAGACAACGCTGCGCGGCCGCGCGGTTTTGGACGTCTCTCTCCGGCGCCTTCTCAGCGACTTTGCTGGCTCGCGGCTAGTGAGAG